CCTTCTTTAAGACAACATGGTTGTTGTGAAATCGTGGTTATCACGTCAGCATTAAACACTAAAGGTCTCTAGTTTGATCATAGGCAGCAACAAATTTTGTTTTTTTGTTCTAAACATGTTGATTTTCATTTTGCATATTGTGTTTTAATATTTTATTTATATATAAAATAGGAAAAAAAAAATATATCCACACACAAATGCTAATCACAATGTCAGTGGTCCACTAGCCCACACAATGAAACTGTCACCACGCGCCTCCCGTTGCGGGTGAGTGGGACTTGGATGGATTCACAGAATCACAGCTCACTCACTCAACCCATATTGCCTGCTCATAGGGCCGAATAAGGAGAGAAGAAGGCAAAGGGAAGGGGTAATACTTAGCTGCAACCTAGGTTGCCGCCTGCTCCTGCTACCCCTCCACATGCCATCTCCTCATTGGCTATCTTTTTTTTTTCATTTTCCAAAAACTTCAAAATCCCATTTAATTTTACCAATGCGGTTTATCAATTTCACGGCCACCACGCCCAGTACGCCCGCGAGAATTTTGACCGGACACAGCTTGGGGGATTGTTTGGCGATTCTTGCCGCATTCGATCCCATCGAAACACTCCGGTGACCGGCAATCGTGTACAACAGCCCGCAAAAAGGAAAGAGAGAATTAGACGAAAGTGTGAAATCTCTCGACAACCTGAAAATCCTTCACGTACAGAAGAAAACCGACCTTCTGATGCATTACCTCGGGCCACTGCTAGGCTATGTGTCGACATTGGCGACAGATCTGGTTATCGACGCCATGGGAAATCATCCACATACGTATATGATAAACAATCAAATTAAATGAGATTTTGAAGTTTTTGGAAAATGGGAAAAAAAAAAAAGATAGCCAATGAGGAGACGACATGTGGAGGGGTAGCAGGAGCAGGCGGCAACCTAGGTTGCAGTTAAGTATTACCCAAAGGGAAGAGAGATCCCAGAGGTTACACAAACAAATACTTTCTCCACAAGCGTGTTGAATATGGAGAAGGAGCACATGGATGTCGGTGATGATTATGGATCGGAATCACAACCAAGATACCCTATAACACATTGATGGTGATGATGATTTTGGATCGGAATCACAACCAAGATACCCTGATATAACACATGGATGGGGATGATGACTCTAGATCAGAATCACAACCAGCCTCGACGGAAGCTAAGGAGAAGGAGCACATGAGGAACGAATATCGATGCCCGAGCATTGAGTTTACTAGATGATGCATTCCGCGAGAGTGAAGGATCGGAAGCAACCGCGATCGGTGAATCGGTCGGAGAAGCTGCCGATGGAAGCGACTGTGAACCTTAACCCAACTATTTCTCCTTCTACCATCTCCACCCCCAAATTGTAACCATCCTAGAAGTTTCGATGAACTTATAAGCTCAGATGAAACACAGAAGCAGGAAAAAATAATCATATATGTTGGGAATAAAAGTTTTGAAAAATATAACCATCCTTTGTTCACGAAAGAGGGAAAAGAGAAGGAGGAGAAAAAATTGGGAAAAATTACAAGGATCAAATGTCCTTCCAATTTGTAGTGAAAATTAGCCTTATACTCATTGTGTCTCTTTTCCCATTCTTTCCCCTTCAAATATGAACACCATTTTCCCCACATTATTTCATTATCATCAAATCAATGACCAACAGACATCATTTAGGATAACCATTTTACGGGAAAAAGATGAAGAACTTCCGGAGAATTCTATTTATTCATTCGATGGAGACAGACAGATCTACCACCACTTTGTTATCCTATCTTCTCAATTGAAAGATCCTTATATGAATAATAGACATTCCAGTTTACTGAGCCTAATTCTAATTGTTTTGTTCCAAAGTAAAGATATCCGGGGGTGGTTCGTCCACTTCGGATATTCACGACTCAAAGGTATCGAATTTGCGAAAACAAGGGTTGAACCCGTAATGCACCAATGAGGGAAATAAAGCTTCATTAAATGAAAAAGACTGTAGTTAAGAATCCCTTTAAATCTATGTGCTTGGTACCGAGACGTTCATTTTTATCTAGAAGAGTAGATAGTGGAATGCTATTCCTAGAGATAAATTGAAGTTGCAAACGAAAAAAGGCTAAACTTTGTAGTCCCAATTCCTGTAGAAATTTTCACTCTCTCTTAAATTTCTCTCCCTCTTTCATGAACAGAGGGTAAGTGGAGTCTCAAATATTACATTGGTGGACATAACATTGCAAAAGGTATATAAGATTATGTTTCTCTCCTTAGAGCATACCTCTTGGAGCGACTCACTTTTGTGGGGGATGAAGGACTTAAGGAACCTCCATACTCCACACACGCGTGCGCCATTCGCCTGACCAACCAATTAGTCGAGCAAGTGGGTGAGTCGGCTTAAAACTATAACTTTTAGGAAAAATTTTGAATTAATTATTCGATTCATTTTTTTATACAAAAACAGAAACATTATGAAGGATAATTAATACAAGAACACATTCTAATTGCAAATGTAATTAACATGAATTCCTCACAAAGAGGTTATATTCGTGGTTTTGGCTCTTATAAATAGACAACTCCCCATACCCTTTATATGATCAAGAGAGCATAAAACGAAGAGAGTGACATTTAGAGAGCCCTAATTTCTCACAAGCCGAGAGTGAACAAAGTGGCTGATTTATCCTAGAGGCAACTAGGTGATAATCTGTTGTGCGCAATACGAGGCAGTGCTAAGAACGTATGAGAGAGAGTACGTAATATGTGACTTTGGCTAGATTCGATAACCTAGTTTCCATTATTTGGTTTCTAACAATTTGAAGACGTTTTGTTGATGCTATGGTGACCAAACAGAACATCAGATATGGCACAAGCAATATCAATCACCCCTTTCGCTTCCATGAAGCCAACTTTCATCGCTAAAAAAAAAGATATTGTCCTGCCTGATGACCAAGAAACTGGTGAATTGCCTCATCGTGAGGCTGACATATTTGGGCGAAGAAGCGACCGCAGCAGAGAAGGTTGTCGATGAAGGTAAAATAGTATGACTTCCTGTGAAGAACTACATCCTCAACGATCTGGATGATGATCTTTATGACTAGTGTGCGGATAAGAACAACATCGAGATGATGATTTGGGATTCTCTTTATGACATGTAGAAAGTACTCTTTTATAACCCATATTTTGACCAGAACATCATAGTTTCACGCTTTTATCGTCATGTATCTTGAATTTACTTCATGATCACTCAAAGTGCGTTCTAGTAGCACTATGCTTGCTTTTATTAGTTTGATGCACTCTCGATAGTGTTTCAGTATGTTTTCGGGTTATAGCAAACTAGTGGACCTCTTTCTACGTGTTGGGAGACATCAAGACTCGACTGCCAAAAGCAGGACTAAGAATAAAGAAAGGACAAAAAACGACCAGTAGCCTAATGTCCAAAACAACACTCGGGCTGCTCTTTTAGAGCTTGTCCAGAAATCAACCACATCCTTCAAAAATATGTTTTCGTTGTGGCCAAGCTGGAGGAAGCTGATTGGGACTTGAAGACTTATTAAATGACTGTCATATGTCCCAAAAATCCTAAGAGGAGACATTAGAGAGACGTTATTATGCCGACAGAGTGACTCACCCGACTTAGAGTGAAACGAGCTACAAGGGCCAGATTCATGCGAGAATCGGTGACCTAGTCTCTGAAAACTCTATTCTGGATGGTGGGAGGCGAATCAGAAGGCGAGGAAGATGGCGATGGAGGATCTGGGAGAAGGAGGAAGCGTTGGGGGAGAAGGAGGACCCGCCCCGGACCTTTGAGCACTAGGCGATGGAGCAGTCGATGAAGCCAAAGGTGGAGGAAGCATTGGGGGAGAAGGCGGCGACATAGAGGAAGGGATAAGAAGGTGGTGGTTTCTATATTTTTTTAATTTTAAAATTAAAAAAAAAATAAAAAATAATTATAATTGAGCTGACGCTGATGTGTCGGCTTAGCTGTAAATCCGTCCAACAAACCGTGAGTGTTAACCGGCTGTTAGCCATATTTTGACTCGCGATAATAGTTTAGTTTTAAAAGGTTGGTGGTAGTTGCTTAGTCAGTATGGTGGGGAGTCCAATACATTTGTCCTGTCAAATATGGATCTAAAATGTTTGTTTTCTCAAAATCCTAAGAATAAGGTTTCTTATGGTATTAGTTGGGCTCAAATTAATTAGTCTTATATATAGGGCTCATCGATGCTCATTAATTTATGCTATAACTGTGAGGATGTCTTTAAATTGTTAGTTGATTAATTATTTAATAGTCATGTACTAATTAGCTAAATTTAACTTTCATAACCTGTTGTTTTTTTAACCAATCATCGATATAATCACTAACTACCAATTACCAATTGGATTATTGATTGCTCCGATTGAATAACCGTTTAACTATCCTCCTTTCCCCACGTTTTTCTTTTTAACCTTATTTTTCCATCTCCAAAACTGAAACCATCTAATCTAAATCAAAAAAGCAATAAATATCACAACTAGGAATGCCAATTTTGACCTGACCCGTTTTACTCGACCTGTTTTGGGGCGGGGCGGGGATGAGTATTCTCATCGACCAGACCTGCCCTGACACGCTCCATTCTTAACCCGTTCTTGCCTAAATTACATGTAATTTTAGTCAAATTACTTAGGATTTTCCTTTTGTTACGTAGTAATATTTTAGCTATTATAAAGTTGTAAATTAGCGAAAGCCTCAATTTTCCAATAATTTAACTACATTTTAATATTATCATATTATGATTTGTTCCTTGGTCTTACAATGAAAATAACTTACAATAAAAATAACGAATACTTCTAATGCTTTTTATATAAATTACATATCTATTGAATTGACATGTCCCGACCCACACCTTATAATAATTTACCCGATCTGCCGCGCGACGGGTTATGGATATCGGAATTCCCAACCCAGCCCTGGCCCGTTGAGTTTATAACCCAGCCCGACCCGAATCACCGCAGGCACTTCCAACTTGAAATAAAAATCTTCTCCTCCCGTCACCGCTTCTCTTTCTTCCTTCTCGTTTCTCATCTTTTTCTCTTCTCTCACTAAAAACAAAAGAGAACCCGGACCTCCAAATCTCAAGAGAGACTCTCCTGTTCTTTGATTACCAATTCGACTTGGTTTATGAGGTAAAAATCCCATCTTTTCCCTCTTTTCCCGATTCCATTCCCTCGTATTTGATCTCAAAGACGAGATCTTTTTTGCGGCATCTGCAATCTCCCTGCTCAATCCTTTCTTGCCTTTCGTTCCGGATCTGTTTCTGTTTGCTTTGATTGCTTTTGGAACAACGTCCTTCTTGCTTGATTTACGGGAAGTACTATTGAACAGTTTTCTAGCTTAAGATTTGGTTCATTAGTGCTGTCCTGATTATTAGGGTTTCTGATTTAGTGGCTGCTATCTGTGTGTGTCTGCAAGTTTGTACCTTGCTGTTGTTTGTTTGTCCTTCTATATATTTGTATCCCTTCCATTGATTAGTTTGATTATTTATTCCTCCCAAATGTGAGTAGCACCCGTAGTTTCATATTCGGAGCTAGGATCAGTGTCCTTTTTAATAGTTAGGCGTACTGGCTTCTCTTTCTGATGTTCTTGTGTGATTGGGTTGTCTGATCTTGGTAGTAAATTTCCTGGATTTTATGATGCAGTATCTTTTCCCCCCTTTGCTGGTTACACAATTGACTGCAACTGATCCTTTTGCTGTTTGTTTGCTCTTGCAGCTCGAAGGAGAAACCCACTCTTGGGTAAGCTCTATTTTCTTTTGAATTCTATTGTGAATTTACCTAGCTGAATTTCGATTGGTAACCTTGCTAAAAGGTTTTTTTGTTTATGGATCTTTTGAAGCTATGTGTGACTAGTCACTGTTCATACTGTTGGATGCTGTTTTTCTGTTAAGCTGCATGATTGGCCCAGTTCATTGAAACCCTTTATGTGTGTTTGCAGTGGCACGCGGATTAAGACCCGCAAACGGAATATTGCAGCGTCGCTGGACCCTGCAGCATTTTCGGATGCAGTGGTCCAGATATATCTGGAAAATGCTGGTGATTTGGTATGTACCTCATGGTTTCTGTACAGTGATTTATGTTGTATGAAATGCCTTTGGTGCAAATGTTTGATTCTTATCACGATAACCTTGTTCCAGGAACTTGTTGCTAAGAGCATTGAATCTTCAGAGCTGAATTTCTCAAGATACGGTGACACCTTTTTCGAGGCAAGTACTTTCATCTGTCATAAATAGAAGTTGTCAATAAACAGCAGATTCCCTGATCTGATTGATCAATTTAATCATTGGATCTTTGCAGGTTGTTTTCACAGGAGGCCGTACTCAACCTGGCACAACAAAACCTGATGAGGGGGAGCGACATCCTTACTCGTTTCTAGATTGCGAGCCTAAGCGGGAGGCTGTTCTACCTTCTGTGATTTACGTACAGAAGGTTTTACGCCGGAGACCATTTCTCATAAAGAACCTTGAAAATGTTATGCGGAGGTTCCTTCAATCGCTGGAACTCTGTGAAGAAGATGAAAGAAAGAAGCTGGCAATTTTCTCCGCACTTGCATTCTCCCAGAAACTATCTGGACTTCCACCAGAGACTGTCTTGCAACCCCTGCTCAAGGATAATCTTGTGGCCAAAGGGATAGTCCTTGCATTTATAACTGACTTCTTTAAGGAATATCTGCTAGACAACAGTCTTGATGACCTGATATCCATCTTGAAGAGGGCTAAAATGGAAGACAATCTTCTAGAATTTTTCCCTTCTTCAAAGCGAACTGCTGAAGCTTTTTCTGAGCATTTCACGTAAGTTATATACTCTTATTTTCATTCCTTTTCGGCCCACGTTCTCTCGTAACACATGGGGGCAACTAATGTGTTGAATAATTATCATTGCTGTGATGTGTGGCATCTGATCTGTGCTGTTTTGTTGCCGACTTAGTCCTTGCTGGAAGTTGTTTATATTGATGATTCTTGTTTTTTTTCTTCAGCAAGGAAGGGCTGCTTCAGCTAGTTGAGTACAACGAGAAGAAAATATTTGAGGAAAAGCTGAAAGAGATGAAGTCTGCTTTGACAACTTTGATAGCCGAGGAGGCTGATCAATCAGAGGTCCTGGATGTTGTGAAACAACGTGTTGCTGATGCTAAATTACCTGAAATTGAAGTTGTTCGAATTCTGTGGGATGTGCTGATGGATGCTGTTCAATGGTCTGGGAAGAACCAGCAGCAGAATGCTAATGCTGCACTGCGCCAGGTACATTACTTATGTTTCATTGGTTTGTAAGTGCTACGCAAATTCTGGTCTGTCAAGAGTAGATTTGTTTACAGTGTATGTATCCATTGGTTTCTGTCTTGCTGTCTTTGAACATTGCACTAGTGTTCCTGTGTATGTATTGTTTATTTCTTATCTTATATTGCAATGCTATAGCACCATCATGAAAATGAAAGGAACTTGGGGAGAGAATGCACTTATTTGTTTCTAACAGTTGTGCATATGATTGGAGGTTAGAACTTGTGACTGCTTCATTTTACCACCAAATGGATACCAAAGCTTCTTTTCCAAAGCTGCTACAACGCTTGTTGGCAGGAACTTGAACCATTTGACTTTTTCCCTTGTAATGGAGATGATTCTTTCCTGTTGCAGGTGAGAACTTGGGCAAACCTGTTGAACACCTACTGCACAAGTGGGAAACTCGAGCTGGAACTCCTCTACAAGGTGCAGATGCAGTGCTACGAGGATGCTAAGCTCATGAAATTGTTTCCCGACATAGTTAGGGCTCTCTATGACCAGGATGTGCTTGCTGAAGACACCATTCTTCATTGGTTCCGTAAAGGAACGAACCCAAAGGGCAGGTAAAAAAAATGCTAAAGTGATAATCTCCGTCCCATGTTTCCCGCGCCTAGGTAGATGTTTTCATGTGAAGTAATTTGTGGATGTTGTTTGTGCAGGCAAACCTTTGTGAAGTCCCTAGAGCCGTTTGTGAATTGGCTGGAAGAGGCCGAGGAAGAGGAATAAGTCGCTCTGACAGCGACCAAAGCAGCAGCAGTGGCCGGCAGCTGTTTGTATAAGAAGTGCGAGATAATGCTGTTTGCTTATTTGTAATTTTTTCTTGGCTTTCTGTTTCAGAGTTGGATATTGGGTGTACCCTTTTCAAACATAACGGTAAACGGTGATGGTGATGATGATGAATGAATGATGCTGTATTGCTTTTCATTAGAGGGGTTGCATCAAATTTCCTAATAGTCTCTGCTGACCTTCAGTGAACATTTTTACCCACGCCGCCAGGCCGGGCCACCACTTGACTAAACAGTCAAATCCCTTCAAAAGGTAGAACACAAGTGAATCAAATGACACACCAATGTATGCACTTAGAAAAAAGTCTCTCATAGTGTCTGTCGTTTTGATGATAGATTGGTTGGGATAGATTGGTTGGGATTGTTACAATGTATTGTGCATAATGCATTTAGGAGTCATTTGCTTTGAGTGATATTTAAGTCGTCAATTTTCAAAAAAAAAAAAAAAAAGTCATCAGTACATGCATAATATACAATATGTATATAGAAAATCATCTATAAATGAAACATATCTAGATTCCCATCCCAATTTTCATACAAGAAGGCACATATTTGCAAGTAGGATAGAAGTGGGATATGAAGACCAAGATGAAGACTCAAAACATGTCTCTCTCCTTCCTCTCTCCAACGGACCTTTTCTCTGAACCGTCCAACGGCTCTCTTTCCGTCCCGTTCATTGGGACTCCTTCTGCTCAATCAAAGAGCCAGCTGTTGTTCTTCAATGCCACCTGCAAAGAGAACCTTACCACTGTTATCAATCAAGAAGGGGAAAAGCTCCACCTTACTTTAATCCTCAAAAGAAACCACCCGATTAGACTACTCAATAGATGCAGAGTACTTGGTAAAGAGGGTGAGTTATGGAAACCACCAGATGAGGGGAGTTATGGCAGTAGAAGGCAAATCAGATGGAAGACAAGAGGGGAGAATAAGGGAAGATTATTGAGCAGATTTGCTTCGGGTGACTCTACACCTAGCCTAAGCCAGAGTAAAGGAAACATAGAGCCAAGAGCCAAGGTTTTGGCAGAAGAAAAGCAAAGGAGAATCCATCTCAACCAACAGAGAAATTATGAAGATTTTGAAAAGAAGTATACCAATCGCAATCAAGAGGGAAGAGAGAACCATCTTCAGAAGGGGAGCAATAAAAGGAGGTCTCCAGGGAATAGAAGAATACTTACCTTTTCTACCATTTCTGCTAGCTGCTACCCAAGTTCTTGGCTTACCAAAAACCAAAACTCATCCAAGTATAGAATCCATCTCAATCCTGCCCAAACACTCATTAGCCCTATGGAAACCAACAGCAATATGGCACCAAATAGGCCAACGGCTGGAGGAATCATCCCTTCATCTTCAAGAGGCAGGGGAAGCCACCCAATCCTCACATCCACTGGTGGCCGAGGAATCTCAATGTTGCTGGGGAGGATGCTGACAGAGAACAAAGTGGCGGTCGCAAAAGCAGCAGGGGCAGCTCGATATGTCTGGGGAAGCTATGGTGAGGTGAACATCCAGCCTACAGAAAATCCAAACTTATTCATCTTCATTTTCAACAAAGCTGAAATAAGGGATAAAGTCTGGATGGATAGGCCGTGGAGCTTATCAAACACACTCACTGCAATCGAAAAATACAGTGGGCGAGGGAAACCGGAAGACGTACCAATAGTGAAGGTCGCAATGTGGGTGCAAATCCATGGCTTGCATCAGAATCAAAGGAATGAGCAGAATATGCAGGCTATAGGCTCCTCCTATTTCTTGGAACTCCTTGATCTGGACAGAGCTAGCCTAGAATATGCTGGGTACAGAAGGTTCCTGAGAGTCTTAGTGGAGGTTGATCTCAGGGAGCCAGTGCCAACCGGTTTCGATTTTCCTTTCCTGGATGAAACCACAGGTATAGACTACTGTGATGAGATAACTTTCAAGTATGAGAGGCTGGTAGAATTATGCTATTTCTGCGGTAGAATAGGGCACAACTGGCCCACTTGCTGGAGGATGAATGAAGAGAGGAAGAAGAATGGAGTTGCTCACCTTTCGGAGATCTATAACTCATCACTCAAAGCAGGAATAGACTTCCCACACAGACGCAATTCGGCAAGCTTCAGGGACAGTGGTGAAAGCAGAGGTACACGTAGCTCGATGGGGGAAAGAGAAGGTTCGAGATCGGGAGGTGGATTTCGAAGGGGAGAAGAAGGAACAGGAAGCTCGGCGGAGGAGATTGGAAGCCTATCGGAGAGGAGTCAGCGTGTTCCCCCAGGGTTCACGATTCCAAGAATCGAAAATCAACTATCATAGGAGGCTCAGGCAGAACAAGGAAGATTGAAAGGGAGGTTTAGAGTCGAAATGGGGGCGAGGAACCTGGGTAGCGACATGGATAGGGCGGCGGCGGAGCTGGAAAGGGGGTTGAGGTTGGAAGAAAGAGGCCAGGGTCATCGTCGACAAATGGAGGAGGTGGAGACGACCCTTACACTTGGGCCAAGTCAACAGGAGGTTCCAGGGCCTCTCTTTAGTGAAGTGGGCCCATTACCAACATATAAATGAGGCCTTGGAAAAAGAAACAGGCCGGCAGATGAAAAAAAGAAAGGGAACAAGTCAAGGGAGTGGGGATAGGCCCAGGTATGATTGTAATGTTGATGCTGGGTTTGCTTTCAGCCCAGAGGGTGCTGTGTTTATTGGGGGTCCTGGAGGAAAGAATAGAAAGAAGAAGATGCAGAAGCCAAAGCATCACCAAGGCGAGCAGTCTGATCAAGCTCCAACAGAACAAGGAGGGGATACAAGGGCAGCGGTGGTTCGCCAAAAGCCACCTCAACTTGAATGAGTATAGTAAGTTGGAATTGTAGGGGATTTGGCCCATCCCTTACAAGAAGTTATGCTAAGCGATTGTGTCGTCGCTTGGGCCCCTCTATCGTTTTTCTTATGGAAACAAGCAAGAACGAGGAGTTCATGGAAGAACAAAGGAAAAGTCTGAAAGTTTTCCCCAATAGAGAGTATGTTGAACCGGTTAACTCTTCTAGGGGTTTTGCTTTATGGTGGAAGGCCGGTATTAGTATTGAAATTTTAAGTAGCGATAGCTACTATATGGATGTTAGTATTGATATGGGTAGGAAGTTTTTCTGTACTTTTGTTCATGCACCCTCTACAGCTATTAGTAGACGGGCTTTTTGGGAGCATCTGAGCTCTCTTCGGAGTAGTAGGGATGACATCTGGGTGATTGTAGGGGATTTCAATGCTGCTATTTATGAGAATGAGAAGGAAGGGAGATGTCCCCTTAGGTATGAGAATGTGGAACCATTCAAGAGGTTCATCTTCCACAATGCTCTAATTGACTTGGGTTTTAAAGGGGAACCATTCACCTGGACCAACAAGCGAACAGGCATAAATTTGACGAGAGTCAGATTAAATCGAGTGCTTTGTTCGGCTTCTTGGCGGGCTTTATTTGGGGAAGCAGTGGTTTTCCATGAAAAGATGGTGGAATCTGACCATTGCCCAATCAGATTAGAGCTACATTATAAAGGAAGAAGGAACAGAAAGACCCCGTTTAGGGTGGATGAAAGATGGCTGGAGAAAGAGGAATGCAAGGAGATTGTGGCACGAACCTGGGACCCGGGAGGGCAATCGTCAGACCAACTTGGCAAGTGTGAAAGGGAACTTAAGGAATGGTCAAAGGAATTCCACAAGAACAGTATGCAAAGGGAGAAAGAGATTGTCGATAAACTCGGGAGTCTCCATCTACCGCCCAAGACACAAGAGAGTGTGGAGGAAGAGAAGAGACTAACAGAGGAACTGACTAAACTGTGGAGGGATGAAGAGTCTTTCTGGAATCAATGTTCAAGGGTGAAATGGCTTCAAAAAGGTGATCAAAACAATTCTTTCTTTCACGCTAGCACTATAAATAGGAAACATAGGAACAAGATTCTAAGACTGAAAGATGATGGAGGGAACTGGATTGAAGATGAGAATAGGCTCAAAGGTCTAGCTCAGGTATCCTTTAAGGATCTATTTAGAGCTAGAAACACAATCCAGTTCAATCACCTGTTGGATGGCTTTCCAGCGAAAGTGTCAAATGAGATGAATGAGGAGCTTTGTGCTCCGGTAACCAATGAGGATATTAGGAAAGCGGTATTCTCTTTGGGAGCCAGGAAAGCCCCAGGTCCGGATGGATTTTCTGGGAGGTTCTACCGGAGGTATTGGGATATTATTGGGGAGACACTTTGTAGAGAAGTTTTATGGTTCTTTGAGACAGAGGTTATGCCGGAGGGATGGAATGACACCCATATTGTTATGGTCCCTAAGGTTGACAACCCGGAAAGAATCAACCAGTTCCGTCCTATTAGCTGCTGTAATTTTAGATATAAAGTCATATCAAAGATTATGGCCACCCGTCTTAAGAAATGGACACCTGATTTGGTCTCGGAGCTCCAAACGGCTTTCACTGGAGGGAGGTTGATTCAAGACAATATAATCATCGTGCACGAGGCACTCCACCACTTCAAAAATCACAAATTAGGACGTAGAAGAGATATGATGTTGAAGTTGGATATGAAGAAGGCGTATGATATGGTCGACTGGGAATGCCTTGAAACCCTCCTGATGAATTATGGTTTTGATAACAAGTGGTGCAAATGGGTCAGTGCATGTATCCGCTCAGTAAGGTTCTCTATCCTTTTCAATGGGGAAGCAACAGATTTTTTCAGACCCTCACGTGGAATCAGACAAGGAGACCCGTTATCACCATTCTTGTTTATACTCATGTCTAATGCCCTTACCTTCTTGATTGATAAGGCCGTGGATGAAAACCAACTCAAGGGGATTAGGTTGAATGCCAGATGTCCAGTTCTGACCCACTGTCTTTTTGCTGATGATACGGTCATTTTTGGAAAGGCAAACCTCCAGGAGGCGCAAAAAATTCTAGAACTGATAGGGGAGTATGGAGCGATCACAGGACAAGAAGTGAATATCAGCAAATCTTCAGTTTTCTTCAGTGCTAATGTCCCGGATGTTGACAAAGCTGATATCATTGCCCACATTGGATTTGCTTCTTCAAACTGCCACTCAAAATATCTGGGGGTGCCAACGGAGTGGGGGAACTCAAAGAAAGAAACATTCAACTTCCTTATCCAAAGAATGGAAAAGATGGGGGAAGCTTGGAAGAGTCTCCTACTTTCCCATGGGGGAAAAGAAGTCATTCTCAAGGCCGTTATCCAAGCTATTCCATCCTTCATCATGTATCTTTTCCATCTTCCAGTCTCACTCACCAAGAAAATGGACTCTCTGCTCAGTAACTTCTTTTGGTCGGGATCTATGCAAAAGAATAGCCTTCACTGGTGTAAGAAAGAGATCCTCTGTGCAGCTAAATCGGA